CGTCTCCGATTCCCAGTAGGCTAGCAACTTTAGCCACGAACGCATGGTGTTTGGTTGGCCGGACCAACTGGGAATATTCTTCTTTTCACCTGTGATGGCCTGGATGAATCTCTCACCTTGATCCAACTGGGGTTGCCGAAGGTGAGGAGCTTGCAACCCAAGCATCTCAAAGGCGCTGCCGACGGACTTCTCTGTCGAGGTCTGTCCTTGAGGATCTAGACTCGAAGCTGCCGCGGCTGCGGAGTTCACTGCATTCGAGGATTGGGCTCTTGCGGGATCATTCCTTGGGAAGCCAGCGAAAGGTCCATGGCTTGGCGCAGTTGCCATCGATGGAATCCACGGACTGGATGAAGAGGGCGGGGTCGTGCTCGTTGGAGGCATAGTCCCCGGCGCAGTCGATGTACCTGGCCATGCCGCGCCGCCGCACATTCCCGCCAAAGAAGAACTCCCGGGCGTCCAGAACTGGGTCGTTGTAGGAACGTTCGGTGTCACCCGAGGATCCAGCGGTCCAGTTCCCAACCACGGATTCCCTTGAGGAGTCCCTGTCGACAGGAGAGGCGGTGGTTGGGCATTCTGCAAACCTTCTCTGGGGTCTCTCCCTTGAGGAGCTGAAGGTCCCAGACTTGGCGGCTGTCCGCCTTGCATCATTGCCCAGGTGGATCGAGCACTCGCATCTTCAAAATTGTGAGACCTTCCCGGAAGGTTAGCTGCGTTCACAGGATTCCATGTCCATGAGGGAACCGGCCGCCCAGCGCCGCTGCTGACCTCACGACCACGTCGTGACAGATAGTCTGCCCAAGGATCAGACTCCATGGCTCTGGAGACTCGGTCAGAGGCTCCGCTACCAACTGACAGCAAAACAGCCTGCAAAGCTAGGCTATCCTTTTCCTGCTGCGCAGCCAGAACTCAAGGCCTGTCACGGCACAAACGTTTGGAAGCTGGAAACAGCACAAGTCTCTATCTGACAATCACATTGAGAAAGTCCCATGCAGTTCCTGTGCGCCTAAACAGTTGCAATTCCTTGCATCGTGGGACTTGAACTGTGCAACGTTTCTTGCATTGCGTGCAAAACCCACAAACCCAAAAGCCTACACGCAAAAACCTAAACCCTACAGCCTAAACGCAAACGTCTAAACCCTAAATCCTAAACCTAAACCTTAAAGAATCCTAAACCATTTAATATAACCCCTATATAGTATACTCCCTTATGGCCTAGACCCTAGAGTGAGGTGTGGAGGTTTGCGGCCTTGGCTTCCTTCACAGGCTCTGGAAGGGACTGAATCTCCTGGCAATCTGACTTACTGTGGCTTAGCAGGGAAAAAGGGGCCATACTATATAGGGATATATAGCATATGGTTTAGGATTTAGGGTTTAGGATTAGTAGGGAATAAGGGGCTATGCCATGTAGGGATTGTATATTGGGATTTAGGGCTTGGGGTTTGGAATTTAGGATTTAGGGTTTGGGGTTGCGGATTTAGGGTTTAGGGTTAGTAAGGAATAAGGGTATATTTTATGCCTGTAGGTCAATCTGAGATTATCTCACAACAAGGAGATCCTTTGAGGAGTCTTGGGTTTTGGGTTTAGGAGGCCCTTTGGGGGGCTGGGGAGAAGGGGGGGGGAGGTCCGGAGGGTTGCGTTTTTTTGAGCTGAGGGCTTAGGAGTGGCCTTAAGGACCATAGTATCTCTGAGGGTATAAAATGAGCGCTTATATAATCCACTGTGTTATACTATGATATACCATAATATACCATAATATGCTATACTATACCATAATATACTATTCGTAGAATATGTGAAAATGATAGAGTATCCAGGGCCCGCCGGTGAATCTTCTATTGGCGGACTTGGAATCCTCAAGCTAGGTAATCTCATATTCTGGGGCTGGTAATTGTAGGAAACCCTAAACCGCGTTTTGGGGTTTAGGGTTTACGGCCACGTCGTTCTAGCATGGCACAGGAATGGTAGCCGAAGACATGGACCAGCTATCTAATTCCTAGTCCATCTGCGTCTGTATGACTCTGGATCCGCTCTACCTACATTGGCGCTGCACTTGGCTTTCTTAGCAAAGCATAAAGGGACCCAGAAAAAGGATAGATGCCAGAATTATGGGGTTGTTCTCGCATGCTGGAGGGGGAGTTGTAGTCAAACATGGAGAGGGTAGGTGTGGAGCCAAAGATTGAGACTAGGTTTGGAGCCAACAGTTGTAGATCTGGCTGGCTGGCCGTCAAGTAGTTCCAGACTCCTTAAAACCTACACCCCACACCCTAACAACCCCAAACTTTGACCCGGATAAGCTCTCAACCCTGAACTCAATCCAGGCATCGATGTCTAACTCATTCTTCGCAACACATTACAGTCCACCCTCTTCTTGGCCATGGCACATGCCCCCTCACCCACCCAACCAAATCCTTGACCTCAAAGCCCTGCTTGCAGATCATGAGAGTTGTCTATGGGCTCCTATCATGGGCCCTTAGATTGTTATATACCTCGACTATCCGCCCTCACATGTACCCTCAAAGACTCTTAAAATCCTCCGAACAGGCCTAAGGGCCCATATAAGGGAGCCATATTTCTGGCCTTGGATGCTAAGTCTGGTACTTACTAGGTGTTTGCTATGGCCGGGCCTAAGCTTCGCTGTCGAAGTGAGTTCGAAGCCAGGGGCTCCAAATAAGGATGCCACGTTAAATCATACCTGGACCCTGGATGTCCTACCTTTCTTTGGAAGATGCCCTGAACCCTAAACCCCTAAACCCTAAACCCCTACAAAGTGTAGGACAGAACACCCCAAAATAGAAGGCCATCCAGGGTCCAGGTTCCGGGTGTCTCAACAGGGTTGTCGGTCATAGCCCTCAGTTCAGGAGTGTAGGGGGGTGTCTGAACATGATTATAGGTCGTAGCCCTCAGTTAGGGAGTACTTGATGCTTGTTAGTAGGGAATATGGGAATAGAACCCCTATATAATCCCTATATACTATATTCCGTTCTTCCCTACTAACCCTAAACCCTAAACCACATGATATAACCTCTATATGGCCTCTAGATACTCTATTCTCCTTTTCCCTACTAACAACCAGTAAGTACAACAGCACAACGCAAACGCCAACATACTGTAGCAGTGTCCATGTTCTTTTCCATTATTCACTATGTGTAACCCAGTAAGTATATTGGGCTGTCCAGGATCAATATACATATGTGTATATATATATGTATCTACATATAATAAGTGTATATATATATACACCCTACTATACTGTAGTAGTTTCCATTTTCTTTTCCATTATCTCTATATCACCCGACTTTATGGTTATATAGTCCCCTCTTCCCTACTTACAACCTGCTTTAGTAATGGGGTCTCCAAGAGCACAGTGCAACCTGCTAGTGATGACTGGCCTCGTCCGAGAGGTTCGTAGGAGTGACAAAAGCCAGCTTGCCTTCACTGACTGGTTCTTAGTAGGAAATAAGGAAATATAGTATAGGATTTACCGTTTAGGGCTTGGGGTATCCATCAACGTTCCCTTTTAACAGATCTGCGGCATGAACGTGCAACCAGAAGTTACTGAGGGGGATTTCAGTTGCCATACAGCCAAGCTTGTCATGCCTCCTGGCAAGGCGTAACCCATGTGGAGCTCTCCAAACTATAGGTCGACTTGCCCAGCCACATGCTTGAGGATTTGTTCTTTCATTGGGTGTGTTAGGGGACCGTCACTTTAAGAAAGCACAGCAGGCCCCCTAGGGCTCCCAGCTACCTAAACAGTAGGCTACTGGGCTATGTAACTATAGGGTATATAGAATTCAGAACCCATTATTTCCGTAAGTGGAGCCCTAGGGAAGAGGGACACCACGGCAAAGCACGGAGCCTAGTGGGCCCATTGTGTCGAACTTGAAGGCAAACTCCCTTGACCTCAGGAATTTGGATTCAAGTTTCGGAGTTTTGCGTTTAGAGTTCGAGGGGGAACAGACTCAAGCCCTAAACCCTAAACCCCAAACCCTCCCAAAGACTCAACTTGAGATGCTTCGGGTTCTCCAGCCGCGGTACTGCCAGAATCACAAGCACTGCTGAGAGCATGTCATGTGGTAGTTTCCCTACAGGGGGGGGGGCGAATATAGACCGAATATAATATATCCATTCGTGATTATGGGGATCCCCCAAAAAGTACCACTAACTATGGGGAAAAAACCCGTGTACAGTTTGAGCTGAGCGCGTGTCGATAGCAGGTCCGCTTGGTAAGCAGGGACCCACCAGAAACCGTGTTGCGGAAAGGATAAAGCAAGCGGCGTCCGTCTGGGTTCGAGACTGTGGGAATCCAGAGGGTCCAAGTACCCAAAAATTAGGTACCCTGGGTTAGGGCAATAGTAACTATAGTACGGGTTTCGGGCAAGTATATGACCCTAAGGGTCCATGTACCCAATAATTAGGTACTTGGGATTTGGGTAATGGTAATCATAGTACAGGTTTTGGTTAAGTATGTGATTATTATGTACGTGGACCCTTAGGGTGATTAATAGGTACTTGGACCCTGAGGGGAAGGCCGAGGGTCTCATCTGCAAAGCCATGTGTAAGTGCCCGGCAAGACGTGAGGGCAGTCACTGATGCGGAACACGCTCTTCCAGCCAATTCCCTGCCAGAGAAGACACTTTCATGAATGTAGCAAATTAGTTGTTGAAGCGTTTGGGTAAGAGTCTGCGCAATTCCTGCAGCTGTGCTGGCAAACACTCGTGTACGATGAATCAGCTTGGGCCTTTTAAGCTGGTCTACTCCATCTTTCAACATTATCTCCATATAACCCCAATATAATCCCAATATAACCCCAATATAACCCCAATATAAACCCAATATAATCTCAATATAACCCCAAAATAACTCCAACACAAACCCAGTATAAACCTAAGTCATGAAGCCTTCATCATGCAACTGCCAGCCGCAGAGCTCCCTTTCAAGCATTACGAGCATGACCCCGACGACCCGACGCCCCAACCTCTAACCCTAGGGATCCAAATAGCCCAATGTAGGTAATATTTACAGACTTTAGGGCCCAATGTAGGTAATATTTGTATACTTGGATCCCTAGGGTAAAGGCTTGGTGAAGTGTTGTCCCGGAATTCAGCTTAATGATAATGAGGGTACAAAAGCTACAGTACATAACCTCATGCCACAGTTGTACTGATACTAGGGGACCACCTAGTTCCACATCAGTAGAGATAGAAGGGACTACAGCGCACAAACTAGTTCCCTATCATTGGTGATACAAGGCACTACCGTACATAACCTAGCCCTAAGGAACCAAATAACCCAAACTAGGCAATATCTACAGACGTTTAAGGCCCAATGTAAGTATTGTCTGTATACTTGGATCCCTAAAGCCTAAACCCCTAAGCCCTAAACCCCTAAATCCTGAGCCCCTAAACCCCAAACCCAAAACCCTTAACCCTTTGCGCTTTTAGCCCAGGTAGCAGCTGCGAAGCCTTGTGGCCCGTCTGCCCGACGCCCTTCAGGCTCGCATTCACGTTGCAAATGGCCCGGACGTCCTGCAGAGCAGTACACTTACCATAGGGGTCCAGTCCAGGGTTTAGGGTTGAGGGATCCAAGTATTGAAGCAATACTTACATTGGGCCCTAAAAGTCTGTAAATACTGTTGATACTAAAAATCCTGCATGACCTTAGTATACTATAGTACCATTATTTCCCAGGTATAAGGACTTAGGGTCATGCAGGATTTCTATTATCCGCCGTATTACCTACTTTGGACTATTTGGATCCCTGGGGTTATATAGGACTTAGACTTCAGGAGATCTATTTTGCTGACCCCAATCATGGGCACTCGAATGAAAAGGACATGGAAGATTAGTAACATTACAACATGGAAGCCCCAAACACACAGCACAAAGACTGCAGTCCTTTGCACAGTCTGAGAGGAGATTGAGGATTCAGTGTCTAGGGTTTAGTGGAAGCTGTTTGAGATTCTATATTAAAGCTTTAGATGTTCCTGATCTGTATGCCATTCTTCTGATCACCGCAAGAGCACAACTCGTTGCATTGATCATCCTTTTGTTGCTTGTTCATCCTGCTGTGCTGCAGGTTTCGTCTCATATCAGACTTGGCAACCAACACAACGACGATAGCGACTTGAACAGAACGGTTATGTACTCTCAGGCAGAGACCCAAAGCTGCACGTGTGTCAACACTGGAGGAGGAGTCCTATTTCAAGAAGGATTGCTATAGAAGGGTGCTCAGGCTTATGTTCACATCTGTCAACCCCTAAAGCCTAAACCCTAAACCCTAAAGCCTAAACCCTAAACCCTAATCCTTGAGCCAAGGTTTCTCAGATCCCACCTGCAACAATCTGAATTGTACACACTACTCCGCCCCAGCTGCAAGAGCCCTGAAATCCATTCCTCCAAACTTATGGCAAAGCTGAAAGCTGCTCCTATCCCTAGGTCTACAAAAAATACAAGAATAATGGAGAATCAAATGGAAAAGAACATGGAAAATGAAATGGAAACTAGGGTTAGAATAGGGGCTATATAAGGATCCAAGTGTACAAATAATAGCTTCATTGGGCCCTAATGTCTACAGATCTTATCTAGATTGGGCTATCTGGGGTCTAAATCCTAAAGCCCTACACTTTAGAAGCCCAGATCATTACCTAACAGGAGCTTCCTTGGCTGTGGGTACTACAAGTTAACCAGGGAGCTAGGGAGCAGTAGCCCAGTATGTAGATCACCTGGCCTCTTGGTGATTCTCACTGTTGTTCAGCAACCTCCTCGGATCCTCTATCCCTGAAGTTTTTCTTACTGGTGTGTAGTAGGGTACAAGGGGCTATAGGCCCTATAATATTACCCTTGTATATTCTCTACTAATGCCCAGTGAGTTTTGGGGGCCTGGCACATGGCAATATGTCCGGCCATCAACACACAGGCAGTAAAGCTTTCAACATAGTGGTCCCTTGGATGGTGATTTCATATTTGCAGAATGCTGGTTCCTTTGATTGTGATTTCATATTCCTCGTTGGGCTGTAGTAGCGGAAAACATGAAATTTGCAAAACTTCAGCGATACCAGCTAAACGGGTAGAGAACCGTAAATTAAAGAAAGCAAATAAGGCTGCGCAAGCCCTCTGACATAGGCTCTACTGAATTCAGCACAGTCTGCCTGCGAAAGTTTCTCTAAGCCAAGTGGCCGCTGTGCATACACGGAAGTCGTCACAGCGGTGCGAGTATAATGTATAACGTCCTCAATTCAAGAGTCATTACTCTTGACAAGTCCCGGAATCCAAAATACCGCGGCGCTTCTTAAATCCACCTGCTCGGTACAAACCCTAAACAACACACACCTTGTAAACAGCCAAGCACCTATGAAGCCCTGAACCTTAAGCTCTAAAACCTAACTATGAGCAGCCGTCGACATGGCTATCCTCCACCGACAAGCCAATCTCGTTGTTGGAGGTCCATACCTTTTCTTGGAGAGGATCTGCGCACTGTCACACAAAAATCGTAAGAGCTATAGTTTAAACTCCAAGTATCCCCCCTCAATAACCCCCATAACACTCCCCTATATAATCCCGGAGTTTAGACTATAGACACTATAGACTACTAATTATTGGGGCCTGTCCTCCGCTCTCAGCCACTGACCATCAGTTGTTACAAAGGCCAATTGGGGCTTTTCAAAACAGGGGACCCCCCTAAAAAATGTCCTCAACATGTTCCAATGTCTGGAACCCTAAATATCCAGGACCCCGCTGCAGGTCACTTGTACTCTGCTACACTGCGTGAGACGGCATACTGGTAATCCTACATGCAGCTTAGTTAGTTAACTCGTATGGCCTATGGGTGTTACAAGAATCTAAGTCCCCCTGTTAATCCAAGTCGTTGCCTTTACAGCGTCGTGTACTCAGGATTGAAGCGTGCAAGCGGTGCAGTTTTAAGATTCGGGTTACGTAGGGGTTTAGGGGCTTAAGGTTTAGGGCATACTCCATGTGGGTTGCTTTCAAGACATAGTCTGATTTGCATGAAGCACGCCCAAGAACCTGATGAGCACCATCAACATATGGGATCCCATATTGCTGTAATGTGAAGCCATTCCAATCCGCGGGCTTCTTAAAATCTCACTGATACAATCTATCAGAGCATCACTTTTCGCCACATTCCGTGAAATGTCGGAAGGTACCTCTGCTCTGAGAAACTCCAATTCCTACTTTGATGGTCTTGGAAAGGTCTAAGCCTGCTTGAGATCAATGGGTACAAACAGCCACGGATAAACTGCTTGTTAAAACGCATGGCAAATCCCCTGCGACAGCAACTGCGGTATCTTCATGCAGGTAGGGGCAAAGGTGTGAAGCGTTTTACCTGAATAGCTACTCAGCTACTCGTACTGAACAAAAGGAGATCCAAACCCTCAGGGTTAGGGTTTAGGGTTGAGGGTCCAGGGTACAAATCTCAGACCTTAACCCTTAAGGTCCAGATACCCAAATATTGGGGCACTCTAAAGCTATATTATTTGGGTACTTGGACCCTTAGGGTAACCTTAACTCCTCACAGTCTTCTGGGCCTAAGGATCTCGCATAGGCTCCACGCGAAGCGTCCACCTCTAAAGCCAAGGAAAGCTCTGGAACATCAACGTGGCTGGCGTACCTGGCAGCCAGGCGGTTTAGGCAGGCATTACAGTTTAGGGTTTGTGGGTTCAGGGTTTAGGGTTTATGGGTCTAGGGTTCAGGGTTTAGGGTTCAGGGTCTAGGGTTTAGGGCTTAGGGTTTAGGGTTGAGGGTTTGGGGCTTAGGGTTTGCAGCCAAAGTTGAAGATTGTCTCACAGGATCTGTATGAACTGCAGTCTCATAGTCAAAACAAGGATATATAGGGATATGACCCACAAAGATGGAGAATCAAATGGAAAAGGACAATGAGCTGGAAACTGGGATTCTGAGCATAGGGGATACTAGGGATCAATATTCCCAGGTAATTAATGGACAGGACAATGTCAGGGACAATACTAAACTGCAAGAGGGATCCCTTTGTCCACTTGTGCATAACACTCCTAATATTGACAGTAGCTTACATGCCATAGTCCTTGGGTACATCCCCCACCTAGTAACAGTCTATAATGTAGCGGTTTAAGGTTGAAGGCTTAGGGTTGCTAAGGGATACATAGGGTTTAGGGTTTAGGGTTTAGGGTTGAGGTTTATAATTGTTATCCAACTGCGTACGGGCAGTACCCAACATAGACGCCGAAGCATGATGCATTTGAAGCCTTGACTACTTGCATCTTGTTGCAGTAACTACTATGCTGACAATGTGGCCCGGTGTGAGGAGAGGTGCAATTTGTATATACAAATCTGCACATGCATATCTGCACATACTGCCTGCATATACATATTATGTTTGTAGATCTCTCTATCATAAGTCTTTTCTTGGACCTTTCTGGCCGAGGTCTCTCACTTAGACTGCTGTAAGCCTACGGGCGGAAGTAATGAATCATCAACAAACTCTGCGCTAGAATTACTATCACCCAAACCCTAAGTGCTGAATTATGTGGTAGTTGGACACAGAGTTACGGGGATTTTCAAACGAGGGGCCCACTTCATGGAAACTCCAAAACAAAGTGGTGAAGATGCAGACAAAACGCAATGTGTATAAATTTCGAGACAGGCAGATGTCACGGCACCGCGCCGCATGCAAGGTTCATAGGCTACCTTAAAGGTCAACAATACTTACCCAAACCCACACTACACCGGCTAATTAAAAACAAGTTCCAAAGTACCCGATTGTTGTTGCATCCTTAGGATTAAACGATCTGGTGGAGTGGCCAGTCGCTCAGGTACATACTCCCGTCACACCAGCAAGGAGCACCAAAGTGGTCTGTGAAGTACTGAATTAGTTTGGGGCAGGATGTTGTTAGTTGCTGTCAGCCCCAAAGGGTCCATGTACCTATCCAGTAAATACTTTGGGTCCAAAGGGGTTCCTATATAGGTACTTTGGGGCCTAAGTATATACTATGTAGGTACATGGACCCTTTGGGAGCGTTTCTTCTGCTGAACGGCTTGCATCGTTGGGCTCCTCGCCTGCGCTCCCTGATCACATGGGAGGTTCTCAAATTGACGGACTCTTCGGGCTTTAGAGGTGCAAGGGGGTTCAAAAGGGATTCTGGGAGTATGTAGTAAGTGGGTTTAGGGTTTAGGGTTTAGGGCTTTAAGGATAGCATCAAAGGGATTTGGAAAATCTCTTACATGTGTCGCTATGTTTGTTCAACTGTGAGACAACAAGAGTTCCTTCAATCACCCTCTGTAAGTTCACCAGAGAGAGGTCTGTCTAAGAGCTTGAGTGAGAGGAAAACACGATACCTTCCGACGCCACTCATGACTCTTCTCCATCAGTCAAGACCCGAATGTAGGCTTTTACTTTGCTCAACTATAGACTGGGCTGCTGTTAAGGAACCAAAACTCAGTTGCCATAGTTGGTATGCATATTAATGAATAGGGTTTTCTCAATATAGAAACTTAATTTAAGCTACTTAACCCCTATATTCCCCCAGTTTCCA